ATCATGCTGGCTCTCTGCCACAGGTATACAATCCCACAATTCCATAGCATTGAGCCATGGCAGTTAAAGCAGTGTCAAACTGCATTATTTCTGCAGTGCGGATGAGGCCAGAATCTTGCCCTTCCTAGTAGGCTCAATTGCAAATTGTTGCAGTTTCTCTTAACTTGTCTCTTCTTCCTTATCCATAACTTTTGCTGTCTTGACCACACTTCATTCTGGACAGTTCCTAACCCACAAAGCTTGACCACTTGTTGACATGCTCTTGCCCAAGTACTCTCTTGCTCAGATGACCGTGGAGGAAGAACTGACAATTTGCAAAACCATCACCATCCATATCAGGTTTTCACCAGCAGCGAGAGGGAAGATTTCAATACTGAGCTTACCTCTTTGGCTTCTGTCTCCCTTTGGCTTGCTGACACATGTGCCAAATAAATTATGCAAATACGGACAGGTTTCATTTGCCTAATTCAGTTTGCAGAAATTGGGATTTATTTCAATTTTGTTTTTTTACCCAGCTGTGCCTCGTTTTGGATTGCGATTCTAAAGGTTATGGTTGAAAGGGAATTATTAATTGAAAGGAGGCTATGTTCAAATGAGAGGTTTTGAAGCTCCTACGCTGATCGGATCATCCTTTTCCTTCTGCTTGCTAAATTTTACCTGCCGGAGGCAGCTTCATTCATCACCCAGCATTAGGGCTGGAGAACAGATGGCGGCTCCTTGAAAATGTGTGAAGGCGGGGGGCAAACTCTTTGCAAGGCTCGATCCTCGTCCACATCTGGACCGCTAAACCAAGCAATTTCCTAGTTCAGCAAAGTCAAGTAGTTTGATGCAAACTTCTTACCGGTCTGGAGTTTTTGTGTATATGTGTCCCACACAACTCTTGTCCAACTGAGAGTCAGGAGGTTAAGGCAAAAAAGGGAGGAGGCAGAGGAGAGACAGGGCAGTCTGCCACCATCACCTTGATGCCAGGTACCAGCCTCTCTTCCCTGTCCCTAGAAGCCTTTATGTCCAGGGAACTTGGATGAAAGAATAGGGGGCATGCTTCTCAAATTTGCAGATGACACCAAATTAGGAGGAGTAGCTAACACCCCAGAAGACAGGCTGAAAATTCAAAATGACCTTAATAGGTTAGAAAGCTGGGCCAAAGCTAACAAAATGAACTTCAGGACAGAGAAATGTAAGGTACTCCACTTAGGACAAAAAAAAAAAATGTCATGCATAAATATAGGATTTTTTTCTGAGACATTGAGCCTTCTCTGTCAGAAAGCTCTGTTGCCACAATAAACTACAGTTCCCATGATTCCCTAGCACTCAACCAGGGCAGTTAAAGTGGCCTCAAGCTGCATTATTATTTCTGGCAATCTGCAAAGGCCCTTAGAGCGAGTCAACAGGAACAGATAAAGGAGCTGTCCAAGGTGCTGGATGCTTTCCCTGTCTCAGGGGATCTGGAGACTGGACCATTCATTCCTTTAATCGTCAGATTGAAACCTGGGACAGATTCATAGCCCTCTAAGTACAGAAACCACTGGCGGGGATCCTAGATTTAGAGGACGGTGGAACAGATTTCCTGCTCGGTTGAGTGAGACAGAAAGGGGGAAAGTTAGCTTTCTAATTTCACCAAACAGCTTCAGCTTGGCCAGTCCAGGACCTTTATTCTGCCTGCCAGTCATGGAAATCAAGGCTGTGTGCCTCTGTCTGGTTATTTTTGTGTGCCAAAGTTAACTCTAGGGATGATAGGCCTCAGTTCAGAGATGGAGCACCCTCAAAAGTCATTGTTGCCTATCGGAGCTGATAGTACTGGGACAGATGGACCCATTTTCCCCATTTTCTGAATCGGCACCAGGCAGTTCCTTGCATCCTTATGGCCACAATCTGTGAATGCAAGACATTGTCTTCAAGATGTTAGGAAGCAGGGTTGTAATCCTGGGTATCTGCTTTCCAAATCCCCTGTGTCTCTGGGACAAAAGCTCAGGGAATAAAAAGGAGGAAGAGAGTGGGGGGAACCAGTGTTTAAGCACCTTTAAGGCAGACTGGTTTTTCTTTTAGTATGAGTTTTCATGGCTATAAACCCACTTCTTCAGATGCAGTTCTTGTTGGGTGCCTTCAAGTCATTTCTGACTTGTGGCATCCCCAAGGCCTTATATCATCGGGATTTCTTGGCATGATTTGTTCAGATGGGGTTTTCCTTTGCTTTCCTCTGGGGCTGAGAGAGTGTGACTTGCCTGAGGTCACCCAGTGGGTTTCCATGGCTGAGTGGGGGTTCAACCCCTGGTCTCCAGAGTTGTGGTCCAGTGCCCAAATCACCACACCGTTAGCTCTCTTTCGGATGCAGTACAGAGCAGTTGTTGTGTGCCTTCAAAATGTTTCCAACTTATGGTGACCCTAAGGCGAACCTATCATAGGGTTTTCCGGGGCTGAGAGTGTGTGACTCACCCAAGGTCACTCAGTGGGTTTCCATGGCCGAGTGAGAAATTGAATTTTGGTCTCCAGAGTCCTAATCCAATGCCCAAACCATTACGGAGCAGTACAGACCGATATTAATAGCACAGAGCTGTACAATAACATCCCAAATCCACAAAACAGTGATACCTTTATGGGGCTAACCAAAATGCAAAAAATATATGATGCAAGCAGAACAGAGTGACATTAAGGCCTCAGGTTAAGGCCTTTGGACAGCAGGGTCCTGAGTGTTGTTACCAGCAAAAGTAACTTTCCCCAGCTCTACAAAGACCAAAGAGGCAAGTAGTTGAGCCATTCGGCTGAGACAATGCATTGCTTTTGGAAGGAGAGAGGGAGTTCAGGCAGGCAGCCTGGGATTTTTCAGGCAGCTGAGCTATCAGCTGGAAGCAGAAGTTGCCGCTTTCTGAATTTTCATCAAAATATGAAGAGTGAGCAGTGGGAGGAAAGCCTGCAAAGGAGAAATGACAGAGCCAGATGTCCTCCCCAGTAAGACTTTGAAAGAAGAAAAGCCCCCTTTGAGTGAGGAAGAACTCCTCGGATGGGGAAAAAGTTGATCTGCCTTTTTATCATCCAAACAATTTAGCGTGAAGAGAGGAAAGGACCTCATGACTGTAAACCAGCTGTAATAATCTGACAGTGGAAAGGAGATAGAGATGAGTGTTACCTCTGAAGAGGCATTCATCTGCTCCCCAAACCCGCCAAGGTATCCGCCAAAGTGTTTATGAAGAGCGTAAAGATCTATTTTACTGTTATCGTCGGGCGCTACAGGCTCAATAAACAGTGTTTAATGTTTAAACACAATCTACTGGAAGTGATTTTGTGTGTGCAGCCAAAACTTCTCTTTTCTGCCGTGAAAATGTTGGGGAGGAGGGGGAAAAGAGGAATACGGTCTCGATTGCACCCGGTTTTTGTCTCGGGTGCAGATGAAGCATCGGAAATTCAGCCTCGTCTGGCAGATGTCAGGAAATTCGTCCTGGCCTCGTGTGACTGAGTGCCTCACTCTTAAGTGTTAAGCATCTTCAGTCGTTGCATGGCCTTTTTTTCTGCAGTGTTTTTGTGCTCCTTCCCTGCAGAGTTTGATTGCTTGCTTTGTGGACAAGAAATTGATGGTTTGCTAGGCACTGCAAAATATTGAAAAGTTTGGAGGTGGTAGAGTGGAAACAGTTGGAAGAGTGGCAAGGAAAATGTTAAAGAGCATAGGGTGATCCAGGGGTGGAAACGATATTTAGGTTGTGTAATACCTTTACTGAGAGCCAATAAAATGCAGTGGTCAGAGAGCTCTGGTGTCACAACAAACTACAAATTCCAGCATTCCATAGCATTGAGCCATGGCAGTTAAAGCACTGTCAAACTGCATGATTTGGGCAGTGCAGATGAGACCTTCCTCAGTGTAGTGTAGTGGTTTG